AGAAATACAAATTTCATTAAATATGAAGTCTATCAATTAATAAAAAAAAATTTGGGAGCGAGACATTCTATCAAGTTTTAAGTTTACTTGAATATGATGTTTATATACGTTTATTAAATATCCGATTGAAATTACCTTTGTCGCGCTTTGCCACAATCATGTTTCTAACGACAACAACTTACACGGGATTGATGATGATAGATTTCTGTTTAATTCCTCGTAAGTGAACTTCTAAAAAGCCGGTAATATATCTGCAGAATGCCCATGCATGGACCCCTTATAAATGTCGTTTTATTCAGCTGGAAGTTTAGACAAAATTATTCGCCTTAAACTGATTGTTTACACAAGAGTGGCATCGCCATCTGTCGACCATGTCAACCGAGAGGCCAAGATAGAGTGGTCGTAGTGAGTGGAATATAACAACTGGATTACTAGATTTTTCAGGTTACAATTATGATAAACCTTGTTACCACATGAATCGAGATCGATTCTGTCCAATTGCGATCACCCCAATAAGTTCGATAGCTTATAATTTTTACCGATTACGATCAATTCAATTTGCACAAATAGCAGATGTAAGGTCACGTCAACGAGGCAGGGAACCAAGCATACCAGACCATACATATACTTACCAAATAAAGATCGATACCGACCGTTTTCGGTTTAGCTTGTTCATAGTATTACAAATCAAATCAAATCAAACTTTTATTGCCATATAAACCAACTTATACGATTTGTGACAAAAACAACATTAACATAATGAGAAGAAAAAAGCATGTATAATCATATTAAACAAACTAATGAAAATAGTTCAAAATTCAATTATGAGTCCCCTATCCTTAGTGCCAATGACTTTTAATACAGGAACCTATGCTTTCTACCTGTTTTTGTGTTGATGGACAAAGAATATTTATCATTTTTTCATTTTCATTGAGGCTATTAAAATTTTCTATACTTTTATTACAACAATCGATGACCTTTATATGCTTCGCAATAACGACATCAAGTGCTGTAAAAGAAAGAAGAAGCACACCCACCGCGGTCAGTCTAATGGCAGAATAAATCGTGATCGATTTAAAACTTTTCAATTAGGACAGAATTTCATTTTGTATTATCAAAAGTCATAGCCTAGTAATATGAATGACAAGTGGTAAAAAGAGTATGGAACTGACTCGATCTTAATGTGCAACATAGCAAATCAAGAAAGACATGTTGTAGAGGTTAACATATGGTCTTCAATAACACAAAAAAGTGTCTAAACAATATGTCAAGCACTCGATCGCCCCAATTTAGGCAGATAAAAAGAGACTATAAAAGAATGATCCTGCCTATACAAATACAGATCGAAAAACCTATCATAATGCATTATGGGGCATATCCAACAAATTGACCAATCATCAAATGCAACTTCTTTTTTATGGTTGCATACTATAAATAGGAAAGTAACGTTGCAAAATAACTTTTTCTTTTTGAAATAATGATTAGCAAGAAAAAGTGAATTGTTGAAACAAAGCAGTCCTTTTTATTACATAATGAAGTATTTTGTATTTTTTTCTACTGAGCAAAAGAAAAGTAAAACCGGCCATCTTTTTGGTTTATTTTCCTCATTTGATTAATGACGAGGTTGCATAAACGCCTGACAATATCCCGTGCACTGTTTGTGTTTCGTCAATGCCATCAACATCATTATTCTGTCTAACAGAGAATTCTATAATTTAATTATTAAACATCGTCCATATTTCTTAATCATCTCGTTTAAGATGTTTCAATTCTTTCAACAGGACCCATAATTGATTTTCAATAATTAATTAACCACCCTTAAAAATCAAACCACTATTCATCTAACCTGCAATGAAGGTATTGTAATATAATTTTGAATGACATCATTGAAACAGAAATCAAACAACAACAAACAAAAAAGAAAGAAAAGACTTCCCTAATGTACAAAAAAATGTCATTTAACTTTATCCTTTAAGTCAACATAAAAACACGCAACACGCAACTCGCAGCACGCAACATGCAACACGCAACATGCAACATGCAAAATAGCATTACCCGTTATGAGATATAGTAACAACATGACATTGTTAAGAACAACTTTCCAGGCTGATCAAGAAAAAGATCATTTTTTATAAAAGAGAGCAGTTTTATTAATTCAACTTTTAATGTAAATTCACGGCAGTCTTCAAATGCATTCGCTTTTAATTGAGAGATTAATATCGTGCATGACTTTAGTATCACTTTCCATCATTACTAACATATTACTTTCTTTTGAAAAGTTAAATTCGTTTACTTTAAACATAAATAGACAAATCATATTGCTGACATAAATATTGCAGTAAATGTGTTTTTAAGAAGGTCATAATTAATGTTTTATCCGGGGCATTCACTTACAGACGTCTCGATTGGCCCAATAACGCTGCCAAACTTTTTGACTATCACACGCACTAAAAAAGAGCGTGTTCAAAACATTCCAGAGAATTGAGAAAGAGTTATACTGTCTAACCTATTGGCACTTTCGAAATCGACATATTGAAAAGATGGACTTATCTAAAGGCATGAGACAGTTTTCAATAAAAAAAAATTTGCAAAGATAAATATTTTAATTGAAGGCTTTTTACATTTTTGACGGTGATGCGGACAATAAATATCAATGGTTCGGTCAACCTTTTGTTGTCGTTTTAACTACGGTTCATTATTGTAACAATAACTCTGATAATAATAATGACAGTAAAAATAGTCTTAGACACATGATTTCTTATCAGTTGCTATTGGCTTTCAGTAACTACGAGTACTCTCAGAACTGTACTTTGTGTTTTGTGTCGTCTGTGTTTTTAATAGGGTTTTTATGTGCTTTGTATCGAGCAGATGAGTTAAGTCCTTTTCAACTAATTTTTATAGTTTGTTCTTATGTTGTAGTGTTACACCACTGTCCCAGGTTAGGAGGGAGGGTTTGGTGCCAGAAAACATGTTTAACAACACCGTCACATTCTGTATGTGCCTGTCCCAAGTCAGGAGCCTATTATTCAGTGTCTGTCGTTTGTTGCTTTATATCATATTTGTTTCTCATTTTAAAAAAAATTATTGTTTTGAACATAAATCAAGCTATTAGTTTTCTCGTTTGAATTGTTTTACATTTGTCATTTTGGGACCTTCTATAGCTTACTATGCGGTATGGGCTTTGCTCATTGTTGAAGGCCGCACGATGACCTATATGTCAATTTGTCTCTGGTGGAGAGTTGTCGTATTCGCAATCATACCACATCTTTTTATTTTTATATACATGTTTCAGGCATTTATAAATTTAGACATTTTGTAAAATAACTGAATTTTCAGTCAATTTATAAAATTCCTAACCATGATAGCATTATATGAAATGACTAAAAATACCTAGTCATTTCATTTTGTTAAATGACTGAAATTTTGAAACAAAATTCAACAAATTGCCAATTCAGATTCAGGTAATTTGTTAAAAAAAAAAAGAGAAAAATGATTATTGAGATGTAATTGACCACAAACACAAATATCTTATCATCAATAAAAATAACTAATGGTTTGGTCAAGTTCAGTTTATTGTTCAAAAACCAGTTTGGAAAGTTTGGAAAGTTTGTATTCATTTTAGTGAAACTACGTTAAGTATGTACTCACTAAGTATATTTCAGATAGTAATTTTATGATCTTTTTATCATGACGACAGAAGGACTTTGTTGTCACAATAGAACAAAGTTTACAAACGAATGTTTAAGAAAATCTAGATTCAAAACTGAAGTTTGTAATATGAAGTAGAGAAAACGAAGCATGTTTTTATTGACTTATTATTCGAGATGGCTTGTAAAACTAAGATTTATTGGCAATATTGGCCACAGCTTTTTTTATTATTAAACTCAAATATTTACACACATATATATTCAACGATATATATTGTTCAACTAGATAGATTCAAAGATATATATTGTTCAACTAGATTGATTCAAAGATATAGAGCATTGTCGGGTATTTTCGACCGGAGGCAGTTTTCGACCACCTTACATTTCGGGAGCTATTTCATGCACGCGAGGCGTTGTTTCCGCATCCTTTGCACGTGCAGATCTGCAGAAATAAATATTTGTCATTGAAGGCTAGGTTAGCTGCAATTCACGCAAAGAAGTAGTAAGTTACACAATTTATTAGAGTAGTCGTGGACCTTCTCGCCATGATAAAAACAAATATTACGACATGTGTTAAAAAATAACTTTCTTTCAACAAATGATTTCAGTAAAAACACCTAGCTGAAATTTATAAGAAAATCGAAACTTTTTTTCAATGAGCTTGAGATTAAAGTAAATTATTTGAGCAATAAGATCAAAATGCAGTCTGCTTTTGAAAGATATTGTATAGTCCAAAATAATTTTGTTTCCTCTCGAAATCATAGCAATCTGTCTACGTGTCAATAGAAAAACCGAAGGCGCTTATCCTACCGAAAAAGGGGTGGGGTGGGAGGGGGTAGCAATTACCACTTCCCTTCCTTATATATCAACTTGAGGTAAAAAATCCCTCCCCTTTACTCCCTGTTCTGACACCCCTAACCCCCCTTTTTTTTTACTCTCGGTTACTCCCGATTCCCGCCTCCCTTATCCCAGGGATCCACCCCCTGTCCACCGCCTCCTACCTGTTTTCTCTGTTGTGTTTTTTTCGTGGTGCACTTGGGTCACCGTCAAGGTTGTTAAAATTTATATTTTTTTGTTCTCCTTTTTACAATTCCTTGGCTACATGTACATGTATTAATGTAAATAAGAAGGTGTGGCATGAGTGCCAATGAGACAACTCTCCATATATTGTTTGTTTATATTATATAGTATTTTCAAAAGTGTGTAATCATATTTGTATGTAATTTTATGCCCTCAGTGGCTAAGGGTTGGTTTTTTTTCCGTCTGTTTTTTTGCTTCATCTTTGTCCCGTAACATTCCAGATATACTGTATATGATGATTTCCTTCATTTAACTTTTCTTATGAAATACAAAATGACCGGGTCTGCTAATGATTATAGTATCGATCGACATGAAGAAAAAACTATGATTGTATGTACATGTGCAAAATAAAATCGTATTGATACATGTAACAGATACTTTTAATAGCGATAAAATTAGGGTATCGTCAAGTTTAAGTGAATTCCATTTAAACCCAATTTTCGTCCCGTTTGTACATCCGTCACGCCTGGATTAAGTTTCCATATGTCATAATATACATGGCACTATTATCGCGTCGGCACAATTTCTTGTTTAAATAAGTCTTTATCTCACCATTTTCTGCTTTCAGATTTTCAAATACAAATGGGAAAACGAAACAAGTACAGAAATTATGCTCTAGAGGATATCAAAAATGTAGTCCAAATGGTTGAAAATAAGTCAATGTCAATTCGATCCGCATCACGACAATACAATGTTCCAAAAACTACTATAATAGACAAACTTAATGGCAGATCTAGTCTTCAAGCAAGATCAGGACCTAATCCTGTATTATATGATAGTGAGGAAGAAATGCTAGTTCACTGGGTCATAGATATGGCAAAAATCGGTTATGGCCAAACAAAACAGCAACTTCTGTATACGGTGAAGACAATTTTGGATCATGATGGTCGGAAAACCCCATTTAAAGATAATTTGCGGGGTAAAGATTGGCTATATGCTTTCATGAAACGCTATCCTGGGATTTCTACTCGCACTCCACAGAAACTTAGTAAGGAACGCGCAGTAATATCTTGGCAAAAAATAAAATGGTGGTTCGAAGATTTTGCAAAGTACCTAACGGAAAATTATGAAGAGGGAATAGATATATTGAAAGGTGCTTCCCGCATATATAACGCAGATGAAAGTGGTTTTCCGCAAGATCCAAAATCTGGTAAAATTTTGGCTGCTAAAGGCAGTAAGAATGTGTATTCAACATGTTCAGCTGACAAATCATAGATAACTGTTCTTGCATGTATGAGTGCAACAGCACACTACTTACCACCTATGCTTGTATTTCCAGGGGAGCGTTTCCGGTATAATCCACTCGAAGGATTCACAGAAACAGTACTTGGTCGGACAAAGACTGGTTGGATGGATTCCGAACTATTTTACACCTGGGTACGTGATCATTTCATTACTGCAATTAAGGACCGAAAAGTCAAGCGACCGGTTATTTTGCTGGTGGATGGACATACTAGCCATATTAGTCTGGAAACAGCTCAGCTTTGTAACTCTGAGAATGTTATATTGTACTGTTTGCTCGAACATGCCCGTCATATATTACAGCCTTGTGATGTTACTCTGTTTGGGCATTTGAAGAAGCACTGGAGAGATTCAGTGAGAGATTACCAGTTCAAAAATCCGGGTGAACTTGTCACAAAAGGTACCTTTGCTTCTGTATTTAAGTCGGCATGGGTGAATGCAACAACAGTTGATGTAGCAATTAAAGGTTTCCGTCATACGGGGCTTTATCCATTTTCAGTTGAAAGTGTAGATAAATCTAAAGTCGAGCCATCGGCAGTATTTGCAAGGGCAAAATCAGACCAGGATCTCGGTAATGACGACGATATGAATTGTAAAGATACCCAAGTTGATAGTCGTCCAGTTCTGGGACCTACATTCTAGATCCAGAACCCGTACAAATTGCTGATGAGGCGGAGACAGAGATTGCTTTAATGCCATCTGAAATTTGTGGCTCTGTCTCATGTGAAACATCACATACAATAGTTGAAGAATTACATGATCAGCCTCCTTGTCTTTATCCAGAACCCATCATACAAGTTAATCCATGCAATGTCAATGTAACACCACACAAAGAAACAAATAAATATTCCCGCGAAAAAGCACCTTCGTCATCTTTCGAACTCCTACTTGTTACTCCAAATGAACAAAAGACTCTCAAGAAAAGGAAAACTCGTACTGTACTACCAAAAGCCGTTTCGGGATCGGAAATGATAAAAATTTTAGAGAATCGAAAACAGCAGAAAGAAGATGAACAGGAAATGAAAGAAAAGCGTAAGATTGATAGAGAATTAAAACGCAAACTAAAGGAAGAGGAAAATGCTAAAAAGGAGGAGAAGAAAAACGAGAAAAAGAAAAGAACGGAAGAAAATAAGAAACAAAAATTATCAAAAAATCAAAAGAAATCGGAGAAATCGACTACTTCCAGGCTTTGTTCCAAGTGTTTAATTGAAACAGACGATGTTTATATATGTTGCGAGATTCGCTCCTCCTTTTATCATGCAAAATGCTCTGGTGTTGATTTTTCTTGTGTGCATATTGACGACATCGTTAGCTTTCCATATGAATGTGATGATTGCCTCTAAAAAGCGTCAGATATTCTACGTGACAAATTTTTCACAATGAATATATGACTTGTTACAAATTTTATATATTTATTACTACAGTGCAATGTTTTAAGCAAAATAATATAGCTACATGTATACTGTACTGCATTATCTGTTGTTATTTTCGATATTTGGAATACATATTTTTTTAGGGGGGGGGGGGGGGGGGGTCGTGTTGCACAGTCTTTAGTTTTTTGTACGGGTTTGTGTTGCACAGTCTCTAGCTTTTTGTGGGGTTCGTGTTGCACAGTCTAGTTTTTTGTGGGGTTTGTGTTGCATAGTCTTTAGTTTTTTTGTGGGGTTCGTGTTGCACAGTCTTTAGTTGTTTGTGGGGTTCGTGTTGCACAGTCTTTAGTTTTTTGTGGGGTTCGTGTTGCACATTCTAGTTTTTTGTGGGGTTCGTGTTGCACAGTCTTTAGTTTTTTGTTGGGTTAGTGTTGCACAGTCTTTAGTTTTTTGTGGGGTTTGTGTTGCTCAGTCTTCAGTTTTCTGTGTTGTGTTTATGTGGACTGTCGTCGGTCTTTTTTCATTTTTTTTTTCTCTAGAGTTTGCTTGTCCCTTTGGTATCTCTCGCCTCTATTTTCTCTTAGAATACAGAACATTTTAAAAATGATATACATTAGCGTGGCTTCGGCAATTTGTTATAATCGTTTTTCTGTTAAATATATTTTTGTCATAAATAATTACTTTGCGTAACTTTAGGGAGAAACTATTTTATTTTTATTTGGTTGAAGGGGATAATGTTAGTCCTATTATTTAAGCCTTCGTAGGTTCATATCGTCTTCATTCAACGTTTTTTATCGGATATTTTTTTTTACTGGTTCGGCATTGATAGTAAAAAAAAATATCCGATAAAAAACGTCGAATGAAGACGATATAACCTACGAAGGCTTATATTTTAGGACTAGGGATAATGTTTGTTAGATCAAGATTTTTTCCGTTGAAAGTTCTACCCAAACTTTTATGCGCTTTGAAGCTATCTTGTAATCTGCTCGTGCTGGATGTTTTACCATGATTTCTGGTCCTGTCTTTTTTTATTTCAAGTTCAATCCTAGCATCCAATAATAATCAGCCCAATTTTGACAGTCTTATTTGTAATAGGACATTGTCCCATTTATTTTGGAAGACACGATCGAACATCGCTCATTTTGATGACCCCTTAGTGCCTTAAAACAAACAAAAATAATGTTCATGGTATACCTGGCCGGTGTGCCCCGGCCCGATCCCCATTTAAAAAAATGGAGTTCAATACATGTACAAGTTCGTGTTCTTTATCAATCAATTATTGACTGTAAGTAGGGCACACTGAATGAACATTAGCACGTACAACACTATAATTATTCACATAAAGAGCACACAAACTAGTCATCAGTGTGATCTTATCAATACAGATCACGACAATTAATTGAAATACGCACGATTATTCACAAGCCCCGTGCGAGCTGTTGTAGACGTTCATTTCTTCATCTGAAATCCGCTTCAAACAGGTCTTTCGAAATTTTCAAAGACTCAACATTGAATTCTTTTTTTTGAAGGACTACCTGAATAATATCAGTCGCTGATCAAAACTTGTAATGTTCGTGTGTATCACTTTAAGAAGTAGAATGGCCGTTTATCTCCACTTAACGACGGCAAAATTATTATCAATTAACACTTCATGACCAATATATTCTGGGGTCGAACCATACATAATATAATGTAATCAGTGATATGACGGAAGGAAATTATAAAATGGTCGAAAATACCCGACCGTGGTCGAAAATACCCGACCATGGTCGAAAATACCCGAATATTTAACAACGTTAAAATAGTCATTACTAATGCAATTATCAAAAATTATGTATTGTTTCTTCGACGAAAATAATGGCCAATATGTAAAGATGTTTACTTGTAACGTCAAGATGACCATTGTTTTTCTCTGACGTCATAATCGAATTTACCGTTAAGTGGTCGAAAACTGCCGACATTGCCCTATATTGTTCAACTAGATAGATTCATAGATAACTCATTTTTTGTATAGATCATTTTTGGTTACCTCTGGCAACCTATAGAAACTAGATATATATATATATATATATATATATATATATATATATAGATAGATAGATAGATGTATGATCCTGGGATACAGCGAATGTTTCTATGAATCCAACATCTAACTGACTTCTGCAATTATTGACAGCAAATGGTAAATCATGGAGAAGAATTTTTGCATACGGGAACTCTAACTACTAGTAAATACGTGTACCTGAAAATATAAAAAAAACTTGAAGAGCAGTACCCAAAACAAAATACATTGTTTAACTATACATGATGGAGGGAGGGTGGGTATTTTTAAAATACTTCTCTCTGTAATTATTCACGTCTGCTCTCTTGCAGCTCAAAGTTAAAAAGAACGTAAACGTCAAATTTTGACGTCACAACTATACATCTTAACGACTATATATGAATTGACAAAAGAAAGAACTGCAACGGACGAGATTAAGACTTTTCACAAGAATAACCGAATTTATGTATAATACATAAATTCTATTATTCGAGATGGCTTGTAAAACTAAGATTTATTTGCAATATTGGCCACAGCTTTTTTTTTTTTTATTAAACTCAAATTTAAATATTTACACACATAGATTCAACGATATATATATTGTTCAACTAGATAGATTCAAAGATATATATTGTACAACTAGATAGAGTCATAGATAACTCATTTTTTGTATAGATCATTTTTTTTGGTTACCTCTGGCAACCTACAGAAACTAGATAGATATATATATAGATAGATAGATGTATGATCCTGGGATACAGCGATCCACAAAATGTACTTTATCACTAAAATATAGACAACTGTAGCTGTAGTTTATCACACGCAGCGAAGTTGCCAATTTGATCAGGTACGGTATATATCAAACTCAACCGTACCGGATCAACCACCACTTAAGTGGGGATGAAGCTGCGATAGGACTGTGGCCAATACTGTTTTCAAAGATAATTAAGATATATACATACTACTAAATTTATCTGGATATGTCGAAGAACCAGAACAAATAAACATTTCAAGCGCACCTTGCAAATTATTCAGAAATATGTCATTTCCTAGATCTGTCAAATGAACACCATCTTCCTTTAAAAAGGTACTATTAGGAAGTATATCTGGATACTTTATATAATGTCCCCCATTCTTTAACACGAATGATTCTATGGCACTATTTATCATAAGTCTGCATGCCATCATGCTATCATGACTCTCTGAATAACGCCAATTTGTTCTCGGTAAAATCTGACACCAAACAATCCAACTATTGGGTAAATAACTGTGTACCTTCTCCAAGGTGGCCTTAATTTCATTTTTTAAATAACCTACTTTCGTCTTCCCCAAATCATTGCCTGCAATATGAAGGACAACATATTTCGGGGGTTTTCATATTTCAGCAGTTTTCTTATAGTTGATTCCAAATCTTTCATTCCCATGCCACCATACCCTTGCCACCAAATTTTAACTCCTATTCTATGGAGACCTAAATTTACACCACCTGTTCTACTTCTTGCGTGTACAAATGCATTTCTTATCAAGGATGAGCCTACTATCCATACTGACACATCTTGGCCTACAATTTAATACATGTATGTATCGACATTAAAAATCTTAATTGACCATCAAATTTAACGAAATTAATTCAAAATTGTGGTATTCGTATATAACTTTTGAAAGTATCAGCGACTCTTTTCACAAAAAATCTTACGATTAAAATTCATCGTAAGTTATACTGAAATGTGTATGACTTACGAGTATTTTTACTCTTAAATTTTTGTGAAAAGAGCCGCTGAACTCCAACGACCCATTATTTTAACTTGCTCGTCAGAAAAACCAAGCATAGTTGCTGAAGTCGCACCACCGATTCTAAATGAATGCGTCCCATACTTTGATTGGTCAGAGCCAATATACCGTAGCCAGGGCTTTTTTGAGAATCCCTGAAAACTGATATCGAGTCATTTTATATTTATATTGTGCTCATTTACCATCAAAATATGCACCACAACCTAAAGCAGAGTTACCACAGCTGTCAGTGTACAAATGTAACGTTTCATTTGTTATCCATGCGTTTTCTGATAGATAGCAATCTCCGTTAAAATGTTCCAGTAAAATCAGCCAAACTTTTGCATCTTCTCTGAGATCTTTATTTATTCTAATTGAATAAAAAGGCTTTTTATTTTTTATAGACCCTATGACGTCATAAAACCTGCGAAGGAAAGCCCTAGATGAAGTAATCGCCTTTG